CAAGGGGTTAAGCACTGCTCTGTGAAGCAATCCCAACCTTGCAGCACTAGTTCGATCCCCTGATGGCCAGGGAGTAACCCACATGGAGCAGCAGACCTCTCCTGACTCTCCCGCAGCTCCCCTCAGCAGTGTATTTCAGTCAGTCTGCCTGTTCTGTTCCCCACTCTGTCTCTGGCGAATCCTCTCACCCCCTGCATCTCTGGCCTGTACCCCAGCTCTTGTATGCATAAATAAATAAATCTTAAAAAAAAAGAAATGACAATAAATGTAATGTCCTGACAAAGGAATTTATTAATATAAGGTTTTTATGCCTTAATATACTTGAAGGACTCATTGTATTTGTAATACGCAGTTACTTATATGTAAGGTTGATAAGCCTACAGAGAAAGCACCAAGTGAAATTTATATCTGAAGATCAAATTTGAAAGGAGACATGCATTCAAATACAGATTAAAGCAACTGAGCTCATTATATGTATTTATCTGTTAATTAGATTAATTCTAAATTTACATATATGTCTCTACAGTTAATATAAAAGAAGGTTCTAGTGTATCAAAATTTGTCTTTAATAGTATCATACTTCATAACTTATTTTGAGAACTGCCCATAAACTGAAATGACATGTTACATTTGTAATTTAAATTATTTCATGACATATTTATTGATTTGTGAGCTTATTTATTTAGCGTTTCATTGTTCATGTTTTCTTTTTTAAAAAAGATTTATTTATTTATGCATACAAGAAATGGGGTTTAGGCCAGAGGTGTGGTGGTGGAGGCGGGGGGGGGGGGGGGCGGAGGGGATTCACCAGAGACAGAGTGGGGAACAGAACAGGCAGACTGACTGAAATCCACTGCTGAGGGGAGCAGCCGGTGAATCAGGACAGGTCTGTTGTGCCATGGAGGTAGCTCCCTGGGCAGGGATCGAACTCGTGCTGCAGTGGCTGCGAATAGCTTAATAGGTAGCATCTTAACCCCTTGCCCCACCAGGGAGGCCCAGGAGTGTCCATGTTTTCAACATTATTGGAGAGGAAAGAAAACTAAAGAGAAAGTAGTTGAAGAGAGAGAGAGAGAGAGAGAGAGAGAGAGCAAAAGAAATTCACATGGTTTCTAGACTTTTAAAAGCTTGTAAGATTTCTAAATATGTATTCTGTGGCAAACAGGAATTCTAGTTTCCATGCAGTTAAATTTTAATTTTTTTCTTTATGTTAAAGTGACTTTTGAATAAACTGAATTACTTAAGCTCTTAACAGAGAAACATTTGTGTGGTGTACTATTTCTTTTTTGCATTTTGGTATAAATAGCTCCAGGATCACGCATGCCTCTAATTGGAGCAGCACAGCCTTCTAACAACCTCTGAGGTACTGACAGGGAGAATGCTGAAGTGCTGCGGTACTGCAGGCAAAATGCTGTAGCTCATTCTCTGGCTCCAAATCTGGCTTTTACCATTTCCATAATCTCTTTAACCCATGATTTTTTGATCTAAGAAAAGGCAAAAACAAATTGGGGAGGAGTAATAGTTTTAATGAGATATAATTCATGTGACTATATAATCTGCATATTTAAAGTACACAATTGAGTAGTTTTTAGTATATTTGTGTAGCCATCACCACAATTTAAGTTTAGACCATTTTACCACTCTAGGAAACAAATGCTATACTCTTTAGGTATGACTGCTACTTCCCTTTAAACCTTCCAGTCCCAGGCAACTATTTTTTTTTTTAAGATTTATAAATTTATGCATACAAGAACTGGGGTGTAAGCCAGAGGTGAGGGGGCGGGGTGTGAGAGGATTCACTAGAGAGAGTGGGGAGCAGAACGGGAGGATCTACTGATACACTACTGAGGGAAGCAGAGGGTGAGGCAGAAGAGGTCTGCCATGTTGGTTGCTCCCTGACAGGCCTGGGATGGAACTCTTACCACAGTGGCTGGTGATAGATAGCTTAATAGTGCTGTCATTAACCCCTGTGCCACCAGAGAGGCCCTTCAAGGCAACTATTAATCTACTTTCTGTTTCTATAGATTTGCCTACTCTGGGCAATCCAAATAAATAGAATTATACATTATGTGATCTTTTATGACTGACTTCTTAGAGTTTCCAGGGTTCACCCATGTTATTTATAATGTGTCAGTACTTCATTCCATTTATGGCCAAATAATATCACATTATAAGGATATACCATATTTTACTTATCCATCATGAGTTGATAGATATTTACTCTTGATCTATCACAAAAATGCTGGTATATACAATAATGTATAAGTTTTTGTGAAGATGTATGTTATCATTTCTCTTAGGTGTTATCTAGGAGTGGAATTGCTGGGTCTTATGTTAACTCTAAATTTAACATTTTGAGAAACTAGATCCACATATTTGGATGTGTATGAAATAGTCTAAATTAGCATCTATCACCATATTCTGACTTCTGGATGCATTGGTTGGCTTAGTTCTGACTTGTAAACACTTTTAGGTGGATGGTAAGAGTCAAGATGAGATAGTTAGTATATACTCTCTGGCATTATGTAGATTTAAAATGAAGTTATGAATTATTTCTGGGGATTCTGCCATGTTTTCAGTTAATGGGAAAGGTAATTGGATATATGGATTACCTAAATGTCCACTTAAGTGATGTAATTGCTTTTAATTCCTCAAAGTGCTAGACTACTTGGTAAGTGCTGTTCCATGAATAATTCATGAAGTATATTGATGATGTATTATCTCAGCTGTAGTAACCCCAAATTCCTAAATAAAAAATCAGTTCAGTTAAATTTTACTTTGGTGACTACTGCATGTGACCTACTCCTAAATGTTGACTTTTTCCTTGTAGAACCCTTTTGTGGTTTCCTCTTTAACTGCCCCCTCATCAGGGACCTCTCATTGTTTCATTTCCTTACACTGGGAGGGGAAACCTGTGGTTAACCATTAGATGGTTCACTTAACTCCTGGTTAACAGACACAATATCTTGGTCCTCCCTGGTGGGGCTGGGGGTTATGTCTCAGCACTATGAAGCTGTTGCCAGCCACTGCAGCACAAGTTCGATCCCAGGCCAGGGAGCTGACACACATCAAACAGTAGACCTCTCCTGTCTCACCCTCTGCTCCCCTCAGCAGAGTATTTCAATCAATCTGCCTGTTCTGCTCCCCACTCTGTCTCTGGTGAATCTCTCACCACCACCCCACCACCACCTCTGGCCTACACCCCAGTTCTTGTATGCATAAATAAATAAATACTTTTTAAAAAAGAAAAATTGGTAGAATACGATTATTTCTTTTTCTCCTGTTAAAGAGTAAAATACACACTCAGTATATAATAATATTTCTCTCATAGTGTTTACTGTGGAATTAAAACAGATAATGTTCTCAGAAAGTTGATTTAAGTGGTAGTCCTTGCTATTACTGCTCTTCCCATTAAGCTGTTTGACAGATGCAGGAAGTAAGACAGAGGCAGCAGAATGCTTGGGGGAATAAAAATATCCTTACAAATTCCAGGTTCTTCATAAGTCAAAGGCTCCATATACTTTATAAATGCAAAATATTTTCACATAGAACTCAATCTGTGCATTTTACATTATTATTCAACTAGTAATGTCACATTGGTATTGTCTGTAATTCTTCCTATTTTCTATTTGACTAAAGGGGAATTCTGAAAAAGAACATTCTTGTTCTGTATAAAGTGACATTTGCCCTTACATTTTAACTACTGTTACAAATTTATTTTGACTTTTCCCATAAATAAGCGTAGCTATTGTAATTTTAAAATCTGCGGTTCTGATGGAATTTTTTTTTTTTAAACTTCACATAAAGTATCTTCTTGTTCTCTCCCCGACCCCCAGCTCTGCTCCTTCAGTTCAACGAATATCAAAAAGAATTCAGCGTGAATAACCTGCCTAACCCCTTATAACCTCTAACCACATTCACATAATCTGGTTTTCTAATTCAATAGGAAACGTGAAGAAAAACTAAAGAGAAATGAAATTAGTAACAACATCATCATCAATACAGGGTTGGAATGCGTCTTACCATTCATTTGTGTAGGGGTTGAGGGTCTACAGTACAAGTTCTTCATCTGGAATTGTTATAGGACAGGGAGAGGGGCACCCCAGACCCCCACAAACCTGCCTATTCTAAATGGGTTCTGCCATCCGCCGCATCAACACAAAACATAGGAGACTTTAATGAAAAGGAACTTTAATAAAACTAGGAAACAATACAGGTAAGGCAAAGAGTCTAGTTTCTAAATGAAGCACCCAAAGTTACCCGTCCCCTCGTGGGTAAAAGTCCATCCATATGGGATCGGCCCAGAGCAAGGCCCCAAAGCCTGTCACAAGTCTAAAGCATTTTCCAGTGGGGACCCACAGAAAAGGGTCACAAACAACTGGACAAGCCCGGAAGGAAAAGAGCAAAATCAACATCAAGATAAAAGCTGCCATTGTCACCTCCCCACAGGTCTCACCCACATTTGTGTCACCCAGTCCACGACCAAAAGACAAGCGCAGTTTCTTTACGTGTTTCTAGGCTCCATGTGCCTCCTCCAGGTTTCTTTGCTCCATCCTGCTTCCTTCCTCAGTCTCTTTAGTTTCCTCTGCAGCTTCTCCTCCTGCTGCTCAGCTCCACCCTCCCTTGGGTGGGGCAGGGAACCTCCCCCTTTCCTGGGGACCACCCTGTTACAGAATCCACAGATTGGTGTTCAGGCGTCTGAATTAGTATGTATTCTTTTTTTTCTTTCAATAATTTGAAAGTGTGTCTATGTGCATTATTCCGTTGGAAAGTACTTACAGTTTTCACCTTATATACAGAACGGTTCTAGATTCCTCAAAAGCTTACGAACTACGATATTACTTCTTGACAGCATTTTAAAAGGATATGCTGGCAAGGCGGGAGCCTGTACCCTAAATAAAAATGGCGGGACCTGCTTCACACGTGGCCCCTCACGCAGAAAGCCAGCAGGGCCCCGCCACTTTCTCTCCACCTTCCCACTCCTGACCCCGGAAGGACTCCACCCGGGCTGCCAAGCTGCCACTCAGTGCCCGGCCGCCGTGGGGAAGCAGGCGTGGGCCCGCTGCACCTGCTCGGGTGCGAGGTACGCGGGTGCAGAGTGCAGGGTGTAGAGTGTAGGGGACTGGTGGGGTGTGGATCGCCGCGGGGCCGAGGGGCGGGGCGTCGGCTCCTGGCCGGCCTCGATCGCCTGCACTTGGGGTGCGGGATGGATGAATGAAAGTCGAGGGGCGCCCCACGCTGGAGGGAGGCCCGCGGCCAGCGCTGAATCTGGGTGGGCTGGTGATCTCTGGGGACCAAAGGGAGCGTCTGGGCGGCGGGGCCGAGAGGGAACCCCCCTTTCTGGTGCTCTTAGTAAAGAAAAAGGAGGATCGCAGAGGAGAGAGCGTAGGCAATGGGGAATCCTTGGTGCAGTCCGAGTTTGTGCTTGAATGCTTGTGGTTTCGGCCGAGTGGTTTAAGATGACAAATGTCACATTGTACTGCAGGTGCTTTCAGAGAAAATTTAGCATCTGGAGGATTGTGGTCTCGGCTCCCTTCTGTAAATAAAGTTGTTCAACATCTATTTTCTGGAAGGAGGAAGACAGAGATGTTGCTCTTTCACAAACCTTTGTTGTTATTTTATCATCATTACAACTAAGCATTTTGATTGTGTTTAAAGTATCTTCTCAGTGTTGTGTAGATTTATGCTGCACGTCAAGTTTGCTGGAATTTTTGTTTGGATTATGAAGTTCAAGTTATAGAATAGAATTCTAGTATGTTAAAGAAACGAATTTTGTTTTTGACACTTACTGATAACTTTCTAGTGGTTAGGATGGAGAGAAGTGAGTAATATTACATAATACAGTATTTTTGATGATATTTTTAAACACATCTACCAGGACCCTGAAACTACCTTCACGTTTACTTAATAAACTTATAAATTTATAAGTTTATTATGAATTTGTTATAGGATAATAAATTCATAATAATTTATGAAAACAACTGAAATGACTTCTTGAAAAGATATTCAATGAATGATTGAAGGATCACTTCCTCATTGATTTTATTTTTTTTTATTTTTTTTTATTTTTTTTTATTTTTTTTAATAGAGGCATGCTTTATTTATTTGTTTGCTGGTTTGTTTGTTTGTTTTGTTTATACATGCACTGGGTACAGTCAGAAGCGCGGGATGGTGAGAGAATTCACCAGAGCCAGAGCGGGGAGCAGAGCAGGCAGAAGGACCGAAGTACACTGCTGAGGGGAGCAGCGGGCGGCAGGAGAGGTCTGCACGCCATGTGGGACCCTCCTCCGGTGGCCGGGGCGCAGCCGGGGATCGAACCGGCGTCGCAGAGGCCGCGCGCAGCCTCGCAACCCAGCGCTCAACCGCTGCGCCACCGGGGAGGCCCCCTCATTGATTTTAAATGAAGGAAAATGAGGTAGTTAGAATGCAAAGTAGAGATTTGTCAAAAATTTTTAACTCTGCAACAAATTGAAGTGTTTATTTTCTTTATCTTGTGTTTAATAATTTGGAACCTTTTATTATGGAGAAATTTGCTGTGGGTGAATTGAATTTTTCTTTTTCTAAAATATAATATACATTTTACTGGTATATGTATTTAATGCAGTAGCAAAGATGGCTTAATGATATAGAATCTATTTAGTTACCAAAAATTTTTCTCAAAAAGAAAATTGTCAGTTTGGGGTAGGGTGGAGAATAAAAATGTTTTTCCTCTTTGTAGTAGAGTATATTTAAAAAGTAATAAGTGTAGATGATGTTTAAAAAATCAAATATTAAAGAATGAAAATAATGTTATAAAATAATGTAATTAAATAATGAAAGGTAGGTCTTCAAAAGTAGGTTTAAGGTAGGTAGGTTTGAAGGTTTGAAACCTACCTTTGAAGACCTACCTTTGATAATATAATGAAAAGTTGTGGTTTCTTGCCTAACCTACCTACACCTCTAATCTCATTCCCGAAGGATCTATTTTTCACTTGTTTAACTATTTCTTCATGGTTCCTTTAATATTTTTCAATAATACATCTATATCAGTTTGTTGACTGAATTAAGTGAACTTCAATTAGAACTAATTATACTGAACCTAAAAGTTGTCATTAGAACAAAAGTGAGGGGAAATTAAATTGACACTCTGTCATTAACAGGGAATAAAGTAAGTACTAGCAGCAATACCCCACCCTAAGAAGTGTAATAAGTCCTCTTTGCTTTTGGATGGAGACTTGAAGCAAAACCATGTGTAAGGAAAGTAGTTTCTTTTATAAATTTTTTTTAAAGATTTATTTATTTATGCATACAAGACTGAGGTATAGGCCAGAGGTGCGGGGTGTGGGTGTGTGTGTTTGTGAGCAGATTCACCAGAGACAACGTGGGGAACAGAACAGGCAGATTGACTGAAATACACTGCTGAGAGGCGCAGTAGGCGAGACAGGAGAGGTCTGCTTCACCATGTGGTTACCTCCCTGCCGGAGGATAGAACTCATGCTGCAGTGACTGTGTATAATAGCTTCATAGGTTGCATCTTAACCCCTTGCGCCACCAGGGAGGCCCAGGAAAGTAGGTTCTTAAATAATGCCATTTAGTTCAAAATGCACTGAGATTTTTTTTCCCTTGACTTTATAACAAAATGACCTTTAGGGAGACCATGTTGTAATTGGAGGACCTGCTGTATGACTGTGTTTGATTCAAAAGGAATACGACTTAGTTGTCTGAACAAAAGGGGATGTTAAGAGTAGTTTACTGGAGTCTAGGAAAAGAGAGCAGAGAGATAAATGGACTTAAAGGGAATATAGCAAATAAGCTTTTATAGAGAGATTGCTCATGAATTTTATTTTCTCTTTGATGATGTTTACATAGCACTATCCAAGGAAAAGAAATAATAAATCTGGCAGGCATACACTTACTGGTTAGTAGAGAAACCTCTCTCTTATGCACCAGAGAAGATGTTAGGCTCTTTCTTTGACCTTGATAAAAATTCTCCCAAGTAAAGGGGTAAGGGGCTAAATGGACTATGATGCAGGATTGTGGCTACTTTGGTGGTAGGTGTGATGTGATCACCTACCTTTGAAGAGATGTGAACCCACACCCTAAAACATATACAGTGTAGTAAACCAATGTTACCTCAATAAACTAATTAAAAAAAAAAAGGAATATATCTTAGTGCCCATTAATTTTGTGCTCACCAGGAAGCCTTTTTTTTTTTTTTTCTTAAACTTATTAAGCCCCCTGTAGTCTTTCATTTCAGAGAGGGCATGTTTTGATAATATGTACATATTTTGTTTTGTTTTTTTTATTACATAGTGTTATTTCCTAATTATAAATGAATACATTTGTAAACTGATTCATGTATATGAACTGTGAATTTGTTTAGTATGTGTCCAACTTGATATACTGATAAAATTGAGTTTCTGTGGCTCTACAAAGTAAAAACTTGGTTCCTGAACCATCATGTTTCTCTCAGGTTTTGCTACCTATAGGGCCTCTCTGTGTGGCAAACTGCCTCCTCTCTAGACATTTGAGCTTTCAAAGGAAATAATAGGCAATAAAACAATATCAGAATTACGTAGCATATATATGTGCTATTTCTTTGAAGATCTTTTAAAATGGAACAGTCGGAGAATAAAGGCAAGAGTTCTGAAGCTCAGTGTACTGTCATATTTCTTTCTAGCCCAGAATGATTTCAGATTCCTTTTAGCACTGCCCTTCTCCCCCATCATTAATTAATTAATTTATTTATTTTTAAAAAAGATTTATTTTATTTATTTATGCATACAAAAGCTGGAATGTAGGCCAGCTCTTGGGTTAGAGGATTCATCAGAGACTTGAGTGGGGAGCAGAACTGGCAGATTTACTGAAATACACTGCTAAGGGGAACAGCTGGCAAGACAGCAGAGGTCTGCTGAGCCATTTGGGTTAGCAGTCTGTCCTGGGATCAAACTGGGACTGCCATGGCTGCCCAGAGCTTCATAGTGCTGAGACTTAACCTCTTACGCCTCCCCCATTATTTAAAGGAGATGATATGGAAGACATGGATTTTAAATTACTTTCCAAAAGTAGAAACATGTAATCAGAAATGAGTATAGAGAAACCAGAGATCTTTGTGGCTAATGTTTTTCTGTTTCATTTAAAAGATTAGAAGAGGAGTCATGTCAGAAGAAACAGTTAAGGAATCACAGTTTTCCTTGAAGACAGCGGCACTAAGAGTGTTTGATCTTCCTTTGTCTTGGTATTATTCTCTCTCCCAGGTAAACCTATGAAACAAACATAAGGTTGAATAATAAGTATAATGGCTTAGAGAATATTTTGTTTGTAGTATTTTAATTTCAATTGAGGTTTTAGATGGTTCATTTAAATTAATTTAAAACTTACTTGGTTTTTATTTCATGGGGATTTTAAAATCATAGAACTGGGAAATGAATTTACAAAGTCCATTACAATTATTTTGAACAAATTATATTATGCGCATAAATCTGTTCTCACTGTTACAATCCTTTAATTCCAATTCTGTTTTATTATGACAAAATATACATAACATAAAATTGACCATTTTAACCATTTTAAATGTAATAGTTCAGTAACATTAATTATATTCACACTGTTGTACAACCTATCCCTAGAACTGTTTTCATCTGCAAAAATGAAGCTCTACAGCAATTAAACAGCAATTCTCCATCCCCTCCCACCAGCCTTTGTCAGCCACTGTTGTACTTTCTGTCTTTATGAATTTGACTACTCAGGGTACCTCATGAGTGAATCATATACGATGTCTTCTGTAACTGACTTATTTTACTTAGCATAAGGTCATCAATGTTCACCCATTTTATAGTATATGTCAGAATTTCCTTCCTTTTCCAGGTTGGATGATTTTCCATTGCCTTTATATAACACATTTTGTTTATCCATTCACATTTGTTTATCCATCACAGGACATTTGAGTTGCTTCAACTTTTGGCTGTTATGAATAATGCTGCTGTGAACAAGAATGTTACAAATATCCATTTGACTTCTTGCTTTCAATACTTTTGAGTATATACCATATATGAAATTACTGGACTATATGGTAATTTTACTTTTAATTTTTTGGGGAACTGCCATATTGTTTTCCATAACATGGCAACATTTTTCCTTTTTGCTAGCAGTGCACAGGGATGGCAACATTTTCCATTTTTTGATAGCAGATGCCTTTATGGTTGTGAGATTGTATCTCATTATGGTTTTGATTTTCATTTCCCTAATGATTAGTGATGTCGAGTATCTTTTCATAAAAGTGCTTATTATCCATTTGTATTTCTTCTTTGGAAACAATCCTTTTATACTTCATTGTACTAAGTAAAAGATACTTATGGGAAGTAGCATTTAGTTAATTAAATACACAATGAATTTCTTCAAATCTAAGATGAACATTTTTCACATTGAAAATTATAAAGTATATTTTGAGCTTTTTTGTCATTGAATATACTTTATGATATAGATGTGCTGTAGTTTTACTGATTTTCTCCCTTTTTATATTATTTCTAAGATTCCTTATTGTATATACATAAATATGTCAAATTTTAGTTTCTTATAGTATATTGCTAACAATCAAAATATTGACTGTAAGTGTTTGTTTTTATTTGTTATACATTTTATTTTTTTATTTGTTATACATTTGGATGACGTTAAAAAAGACCAGCAACAAGATGTAGCAGCACCCAGTGTGTATAAAGCAGTGTGTCAAACATTTTATATTAAGTTTATTTACTAACTCAATTCTTACAATAATCATAAAGTAATATTTAAAATTTATTATTTGAGTATCTAATACATGTCCATGGTTCAACAATCAAAACCATAGACACATACATGTACATACATAGAGATGTTTTACTCTATCTCAGTCCCTATCTACTGCTCTCTAAAAGTGACCATTTGGATGACTTGAATATCTTTCAGGGTTTCAATATTCAAATATCAGCCAAAGTAATTATATATCCTTATTTTTTTCTCTTATAGATAGTACATCCTATATATTTTTTTCTCTTAAAACATCCTGCACATCTTTTTGTATTAATATATGTTAATTAATATTTTTTCTTTTTTTCATTCCTGCAGCTCCATAATGTTCTTATATATGAATATTTGGGTTGTTTCTGTAGTCTGTTAAAAACAATGTTGTAGCAAATAAGCTTTAAATAACTCAGTTCACACAGCTACAAGTACAGGATCAATTTTCATACACTGAATTTCTGGGCCAATGAGTAAATGCTTTTTGAATTCTATCTAAATGAATTTTGGTAGAAATTGCTGAACTGCTTTTTGTAGGATAAAAGTGTTTTGTGCTCTTCAATTTTTGGCTTTCTTGCCATTCTGTTTGGTTAGAATGCTATTTCATCATAGTTTTAATTTTTATTTCTCTATTTGTGTTAGGTAGAATATCTTTTTGCAGATTTAAGAGCAATTTGTACTCCGTATGACCATTTTGAAGCTTTGTTTTTTTTTACTGTATTGCTAAATTGCTTTTCAAGCTGGTATACCAATCTAAGCTTTTACCAGTAATATTTGACAATGCCTGTTTTTTCATAGCCTGGAAAGTACTGGATATTTATTTATATATTTTTAAAGATTTATTTTTATTTTCATTTATGCATACAAGAACTGGGGTATAGAGCTGGGTATTAAACTCATGCCACAGTGCTAGTTATAGCTTGATAGTGCTGAGACTTAACTCCAGTGCCACCAGGGAGGTCATTTTGTAAATAAAGTGTTATTGAAACACAGTAAGCACATGTTATTACATTGCCTGTGACTCCAGAGTTAAGTGGTAGCAATAGAGAATATAAATCTCACAAACCTAAAATATTACCTATTCTTTACAGAAAAAATTTCTTGTCTCCTGTACTAAGAGGACAGTCTGTACTTTGAATATCATGAAAGGACCAAGAAAGAACAGTGTAGGAAAATCTCAGACTTCTGTTTGTATAGTTCTATAGATTTTCTTTTTATGAAAAAGACATTTGAGGGTTTTTTTTGTTCAGTGGTTCAGCCTCCAAAAATTGACAATCCGTGTTGGATGTGATTCAGTATAATTATTTACATCTAGACATAATCCCTATCCTTATTGAGTTTATCCTTATTGAGATATGTTATATGTGTGACTGAATTATTTCAACATGTTATGGATAACATGCATAGATTTAAACACATCTCTGTGAAGCATTTTTGTTTGCATTCTATCACTGTGCAATTGTGTGGTTTTTGTTAAATTACTTAATCTCATCTGTTAAAGGGAATAAAAAGTACAGTGCCTGGTACATAAAGATGAGTGGGTATACCAATAAATACTAACTCATTTTATTTTACTATGTCATTTAAAAATATTACATTTTCCAAGTAATTATCTTTCATTTAATGAATATATACTCTCAACACAATATTTAAGTCTCTTACTCTTGTGGTTTTCTTAACGTTTTGTTTTTTTTTTTTTAAACAGTGTCAAATTACATTTTTCTCCTTTATTTTTCATTATCTTATCTTGGTGTTTTCTTTCTTTTTTTTTAAAGAATTATTTATTTATTTATACAAGCACTGGGTACACTCAGAAGCTCGGGAGGGTGAGAGAATTCACCTGAGCCAGAGCAGGGAGCAGAGCAGGCAGAAGGACCAAAGTACACTGCTGAGGGGAGCAGCAGGCGGCAGGAGAGGTCTGTGCGCCATGCGGGACCCTCTGGTGGCCATGGAGCAGCCGGGGATCGAACTGGCACTATAGAGGCTGCGGGCAGCTTCGCAACCCAGCGCTCAACCACTGCACCACCGGGGAGGCCCTTAACGATTATTTTAATATATTTTTTGTGTCAAATTAATCCAAGCTGACTCTGTTTTTCAGTTGGAAACCAGAACAGGAAATGGTAGGTAGTTTAGTTGATTCTCCAAATTCAGTGTTGAGAAATATTTAAGAATTAACTAAGAACTTAAAAATCTGTCTAAGTGCAATGTGCTATGAATTGGGTCCTGGAAAAGGTGGAAAAATTGGTGAAATCAGAATAAAGCCTGTAGTCTAGTTAAAAATATTATACTAATGTTAATTTCTTAGTTTTGACAAGGATACTATGGTTATGTAAGATGTTATTAAAAATAACTTAAGTGAACCTCTACTTCCTTTGCACTTTTCTATAAATCTATAATCATTCCAAAATAAGGTGTTTGTTAAATTTTAAAAATTAAATCATAAGCTTTTATATTTTTGGAATGCCTTCTCTGGGTCATAGTATATTTAACTTTATATGTTATCTCCTTTCACAACAACCTTATGTAGAATTTACAGTTTACATGTGTGTTCTACTTATCAGAGATGTTCATTCAAAATAACATTAAGCATCTAATGTTTCAGTCAAGCTGTGATGAGTGACATCTAGACATAATCCCTATCCTTATTGAATTTGGAACCTCAATACAATTCTTAGAGTTCATCACCCCCCGAAAAAAAATTATAAGACTACATTAACATACTTCTAATAATGTTGAGCTAAGAGAAATATGGAGGAGACTTGTGTGTGACTACATAACTATTCTCTGTCTCCAGAGAACTTTAGATGAAGGGGAAAACTTGACAAGAACATTAAACAGTGGCATCAGGTTATGGAATGGGGAAGATTGTGAAATCTGAGCACAAGGAACAGTATCTTATTCCTTTCTGAGCACAAGGAATAGTATCTTTTTCCTTTGTATATTCAGTGGCTTGCCCATAAATTCATGATCATTTCATGTTGAATGAATAGGATACACATTCTAATTTTTGTTTTGTCTGGTGGTAAGGGAAATGACTATCAGTTATACCTAAGTCATCTTTGAGCTTTGGGATTCTAAGATGCTGTATTTCCTGAGTTCCAGGCAATGATATAGGAACTAATTGGCTTTCCTCTGGGTAAAAAAGAAAGCAAAATAAGAAATGATAGGCAGGGGCAACTTTAGAGACTTTCAAAACCTTGTGTTGTCAAGAATATTGATGAGAAACATCTTTTTCTTGGGAAATTTGTGGCTTTATTTTTATCATGGAAAATGTTTCCTTTATCATGAGATTAAGCAATGTAAATTTTAATGATCTTTTATGTAAAAATAATACATAATAAACAGCAATTCAATCTCAAGAGTAAATTGATTTATACTATATTTTAATTCATGTAATTAAAGAAAAGTATACATCTGACAGAGCATTTTTAATTTTGTGTTTATGTGACCTAATTCTCTAATTTCAGTGCCTTCAGATATAGTAGAACGGACAGTTCAAAAACACACTATCACTTAGTTGTGACCAGGCTGTGTTAATAGATTCTTTTCTTTAGTGGAGTTTTAATTTTATCTTACATTTGTGTTTCTTTGCCATCGCAAATTGTGGTGCTCTTTTAAAAACTTTTACCCATTTTTTAAATTGCATTTTTTTCCTTATCAGGTTTTGATTTTTTTCATTATACCCTGAATACAATTCCTATTTCAAATATATAATTTGCAACTATTTTCTCCTGCTCTGAAGATTGTGTTTCATTCTCTTAAATAGCACTTTTCAAAGACCAGAAATATTTAAATCCTGAAATCCAATTTGTAAACTTTTTCTTTAATGGATTAGAAAATTTGTGTCACCTCTGAGACACAAAGGTTACAAAGATATTCTCTCATGCTTTCTTCTGGAGGTTTTACAGTTTTAATTTTCAGTCTTATGATCCATAAACTATGATGTGAAGCACAGATTGTGATTCCATTTTATTGCATAGGAAAACGTTTTTTCACAGCTCCACTTGCTAAAATACTATTCTTTCTTCACTGACTTGCCTTTTTACCTTTGTCTAAACTCAGTCACCTGTATATGTTGTATGTCTATTTCTTTACTCTCCTTCCTATTCCATTGCTCTATTTTTCTCTATATCAGTGTGATAATATCTTGTTTATTGTAGCTTTACAAGTCTTGAGATCAAGTAACCCTAGTCTTTCAACTTTGTTTTTCTTTTTCAAAATTATTGACTGTTCCAGATCATTTTCACTTTCATGTGAGTTTTAGAATCAATTTCTGCAAAAAAGAACCACAACAAAACCTTGCTAGGGTTGTTATTGGGATTGCATTGAATCTGTAGATTAGTTTAGGTACAATTGACATCCTTATTGAATCAACTTTTATTAATGTGTTAGATTTCTCCATATATTTATTTTTCCTTAGCAGTGTTTAGTAGCTTTAGGATTCATGTCTTTCACATCTATTGTCAGATTTTTCTTTAAGTAATTCACATTTCATGATGCCATTGAAATATTTTTAAAATTTTAATTTCCAATTTTTTGTTACCAGTGTATAAAAATATGTTTTTTTGTATTTTGACCTTCTATGTCATAACTTTATTAAACTCACTTATTCTAGTTTAAGCAGGATTTTTCTATATAGATTTAGTTTCTAAATGGTAATTAATGTTTTTATTCTATAACTGTTACATTACAGTTTGAAAATAATTTTGTTATGGGCAATTTTAAGCATATACAAAATAGAATATAAACCCCCACTTACCTGACACCTAACCTCAATAGTATTCAAATCATGGACAATCTTATTTCCACTATTTTCCTAACTGCTTCCTTCCCTGCCTCCCATTGATGATTTACATGGCCCCCTTTTAATGATTTCTTTTGTTGTGCACTTGATATAGTCCCTGTTTTCATTTGATATAGTCCCTGTTATTTATATTTTCTTTTGTTTCCTTGCTGTTGGAGACAAATCCATACAAACCTTACTGAAAGCCTTGTCATAAAGTGTTTTTCCTATGTATTTTATAGTTTCAGGCCTTACATCCAAGTCTTTAATCCATTTTGAGTTAATTTTTATGAATGGTGTGATATAGTGGTCTAGTTTCATTTGTTTTCATGTGTTGTCCAATTTTCCCAACAACAAAAAAACTGGCTTTTTTAAAAAATCTGATGCAATCATTCCTATAGTTAAAAATCTTACTATTCAGATAGGTTTAATTGCATGAATTAATCATTAGTTGTTGAACAACAAATATTAGTGGGACTGAATTATTTTGTGCTCTGCTGGATTTTTTTTATGTAATGTTTACCTGAGAACTTCAGAGCAGTGGATAATAAATTAGTACTCTTTTATTTTTAAAATTGAAATTGGGCAAGCTATCTTTGGAAGAGTGAAATAATATTCTCTTGATTAGCTTAATGGTAGGTTTAGTTCTTACATCTTTACTTTAAGCGACCAAATAAAAGATTTTTTTTCAATCTAATTGCATCTTTTTCAGATTAAATTTTCCCCAGTAGCTAGAAAATTGTTTGTGGTAACTGCAGTGAGTGCCGTATCTGTAATTTTTCTGGCCCATCACTTTAAAAGAAGACGTGGAAAAAAGAAAGGAAAAATATTGCCATGGGAACCAGAACACCTACTACTTGAATACACTAAAAGATCAGCATCAGAGAAAGGTATGTGGAAATAGCTGAATTAAGTCTAGAAAGGAATTTTGTGAATAAATCATACTGGAGAGAACAGTGATTTCATTGCTTTAGTAATTAAATTTTCTTTTCTTGGTAATTAATTCACAAGTAATACAGATTATAAGTTTCAGGAAGATTAGAAAATAAAGATCAGTAAATGGAAAAAAAACAGTCACTTGAAATTCTGCTGCACAGAAATAACTATTCATTTGTATTTGCATTTAAATATGAGATAAAGTTTATAATATATGAAAGTAAATAATTTATATGTTTTAAATTAAATTACAATCTTTTTTTATAACCTGCCTTAAAAAATATTTAATAATATAGAAGAATGTCTTTCCAGGTCAATAAATACATCTCTGTGCTATCAGGTTTTTTTTAATTTAATTTTTTAAATTTATTTATGCATACAAGAGCTGGGGTATAGGCCAGAGGTGGGGAGAAGGGGGCTGGAGAGCGGTGGTAGTGAGAGGATTCACCAGAGTGGGGAGCAGAACAGGCAGATCTACTGATTTACAATGCTGAAGGGAACAGCGGGTAAGACAGGAGAGGTCTGCTGTTCAGTGTGGGTTTGCTCCCTGGCTGTGAATCAGACTTGTGCTGCAGTGGCTGCGGATAGCTTGATTGTGCTGAGACTTAACCCCTTGCGCCACCAGGGATACCCTCTGCTATCAGTTTTAATATATACTTTAATTTTGTACAAATAATACTCTTAATTTATTTAACCAATTCCCCGTTGTACCCTTTAGGCCATGTATCTTTGCTCATACTTGTCTGTTTATTTCTTTAGTATATAAAACTCTAGAAATAGAATTGCTGGCTTTTAAAGGATTTGTGGCTTTTGTTAGAGATATGGTATATAATATGATATTGTATTAATAATTATATAGTGAGCATGCTGAATTTCTTATTTTTTAATTTATTACTTAGTGTGTTATTTGCTATTGTGGTTCATTTATCCGGCACATAATGAATGACTACTTTTTGTCAGTGCAATGAACACTATAAAAATAATGATGGCTCTCACTGAAATTTTTATCAGATCTCAAGTGCAGTGCTAAATGCTGTATAAGCACTGCATTATTTAATTTTCATAGCAACCCTGTAATTTTAGACTATAACCCTATGTTATTGTTCTGTAAGGGAGCAAATTCTGCCTCCTCAAGTCATGTCATTGGCAAGAGGTTTATTTAATGGGAGGGGCTCTGAAGACTGGGTAGAGACAGTTTTTGTTATTTATATCTGAACTTCTCTCTTTTAGAGTCTATTCCTAGAAAACCAATTCCATTATCTCTTTTCCTGGAGAACTTGGAAGTACCTTTGTTTTCCCCAGCAAACATCCTAACTGACTTACCTTTTCTTCCCCAACTTTGCCTTAGCTAAGCTATGTAAAAATGGCATCTAAAGCCATGTATGTTACCCAGTCTTCCTGGGTCTCTCCCAAGTATACAGGAGGTATACATGTTATTATTAAACTTTTAATGCTTTTCGCCTAATCTATTTGTCTGATGCTTTTTTGATTATTTGCCAGCCTAGAAGAACCCAGTGGGGTGCCGGATGATGTCCTTTGTGTCCTGATAGTTCCCATTTTATATGTAAAGAACATTTAATATAGAAAAATAAGTTCTTGTTCAAGTTCATATAACTAACAAGTGCTAGAATTTAAAGAAGGGTCCAACTCCTGCATTAAGATAAACTAAAATACATTCTTCTGCCCAAAATGAATGGATGATGGTTAGGGGAGACAAATATAAAAAAACTAATTACTGTAAAACCATAGATACAGTTAAAATGTACATGCTTTAAGGTAGTTGCCGGTATTTTTTATTGATTACAATAGATTATTCAACTACTTCCATGACTAATTAGTTGAATATTTTATTTTTCATTTCAGAAGCAGATTTTAGCAATGTTAATAAGTTTATGTAGAGATGTTGATTTTTATACATGGGGTACATTTAATAATTTACACAATTAAGTGCAATGTGTTTTAAAATCAACTTTCTGAATGAATATATATTTTGAAATTTTATCTAAAATTAATCATTGGTGTTACCCATACTTTTACAATTAATGTGTTTGTCTGGTAGGTTCAAGTTGTTCCAGTAGTAGACAGAATTTGACATTATCTTTAAGTTCTGCCAAAGATAAAGGATCTCAGTCTTACAACAATGTTAATGGAGGACTTTTCAGTAAATACTCAGGTTCTGCACAGAGTTTGGCCTCTGTAAGTAAAGAAAAAAAATTTTTGATATTTTTCTTAAATTTGTTTATATTTCTATTGTTATCTCTTGGAGTCAATGTCATAGTGTTAGTGGGCAGGCTGAGGGGTAACCCAGGACCCCAAACTTGCATGCTATAAGTGGGTTCTGCCATCCACCACATAAAGACAAAACATATTCTTAGTGTGTAAGACCTTTAAAAGAAAAGAACTTTAGTAGAATTTCTAAAGAATTACTGTGCAAAGAAAGTAAAGAAAGGATAAAGGTTTCCCAGTAAAACACAACAAAGTTACCCATCTCCTTGTGGGTAAATGGCCAGCCAAACAGGATTGGCCTAATGTTGGATTCCTGAGCTGCAAAAACTTGCCACAAATCTAAGGCACCTTCTGATGGGAATCCACAGGAAAAGGGCAGAAAGGGTCAGGCAAGTCTGGGCTGAAAAGAGCAAAATCAAGGTACAAATCAAGGAAATAGCTGCCATTCTCCCCAGAGGTCTCTTACCGACAGGTGGGACCCTCCTCCGGTGGCCGGGGAGCATCCGGGGATCGAACAGGCGCCGCAGAGGCTGCGGGCAGCTTCGCAACCCAGCGCTCAACCACTGCGCCACCGGGGAGGCCTAGTATAGATAGAACCTTAAGAAATCATCTGGCAGAGCTAGTTTTCTTCAAATAAATAAAATTGTCATTTAGCTAAATATTTGGTCATTTGTTTCCAGTTTTCTTTAAGTGATGTGATCTCCTGGGGTTCTATGAGAATGATGTTTATGCGAAAGTGTTGTTTCAAAACTGTGCTCTGAAAAAAGCTGGAAGATGCAGCCAGACTTTGTACTAAGTTACCAAAATGAACTGATGGTGAACTCACTCCAGTGAAAAAAGCATTGTTTAATGTAAATACAAAATCCAAATCACAGAATTAAAAAATTTTAGTTGGTAAAAAAAAAAAAAAAAGTGTTTGGCTTGCTGAATCCAAGCAGTTCCTCGCTTCCTTCTTTGCAGCATTCATATAGTATTGATTGAAATTAATAAAATAGCATTTTTTAAAATCTAATATAGTTTTAAAAATATTTTAAAATATAGGATTTTTTAAGAAATCCTATTAAATAAAAAAGAGGCAAAAATGAACAGTGACAAATGTGTTTTTGATCTTTTTGTAGGTCTCCTCCTTAGAGAAAAACAACACTGACAGTTTGTGTATACTTCAAGGAATGTGTGTTCCACCACCATGTATATGCATTTAAAAATAGTTTGGGGAACACCGTATTCTGTCCTGTGCTTTCTGTATTTCTTTGGTATATATAACTGTCCCATTCTTAAGTGCCTGAAAATATGCTGAATATTAAAGACGCCATGGTGAGAATGTCTAGATCAGAGGCCTCTGTGAAAGTGAGCAGAATAATGAAGTATATGCCCATTCTGTAGAAGAATACATCTGTCAGAGAAGTGCTTCTGTTGTCAGTTTTCCCAACTGAAAATGGAAGCTGTTCTTCTTGACTAGAAGTGAGAAAGGAGTTTAATGATGGAATCACTTAAGTACACTTGCTTGCTAACCTAGTCATTTCTCTGTCAGGGCTGAATGCAGATTTCTGCCTTTTAATGTATCCCTAAATGAGGGTCATAACAATAAGAGTGGGAAGGAGATGTTAAAGATGACTTCTTAGTGTTATTAACTCATATTAAAGTCTGCTTACAAAAAAGGAATGGCTTCTTGATTTCCAGTTTGAGAAATTATAGGGGTGGAATTACTACTGATGAACTTGGCAGAAGAAGAGTTTTGTTATGGGAAAATACAGAGATCCTTTTTTTATGAAGTCAGTTTGAGATGCCAGAAGAGCCAAGTGTAGCCACCTGATAGGCGGATAAAAAGGTGAGTCTAGCTTTTTCAAAGAGAACAGAATTAGTTAGAGATTTGGGAGTCATCTGTGGAGAAGTGACCAAATGATTGGCTCACTGGACCTTGCTGGAAGGCAAAGACAATAGAGACCTTACAATGTAGTTATTTAGCAGAGCATCAGTATTGCAATAAGTTCTGAAAGAAAAATAAAGCATCTACCTCAAATCAATTTGATTACAATTTATTTTGATTACAATTTGATTACAATTATTATAGGTAAATGGCAAAACAGTAAACAATATAAAAATACCTGTCTAGTTTTTTTTATAGAAATGACTACTTTATATTCATAATATTGCCTTGTGTATTTTTGAGCAAACAAAGATCAGCATACTTAGGCTTATGATTCCTAAGTTTGAATATAATTGGAAGTCTTTCTCAGATAGAAACTACATGAGTTCTTTAACCAGGAGTAGGATTTACATGAATAATTCGTAAATATAAAGAGTCACAAAACACTATCACAGAAGAGATTTTGAAGTAACTTTTTTGTCCTTAATTTTAGGTGCAAAGTGTCAATTCATGTCATAGCTGTGCTTGCGGCAATTCTAATTCCTGGGACAAAGCAGATGAAGATGATATTAAACTTGTTAATATTCCTGTGACCACTCCTGAGAACTTATACTTGATGGGTAAGCATAACGTGATAAGGTTTTAAGATATTGTAATCATTTTTTTTTAAGATTTATTTTTTTTATGCGTACAAGAACTGGGGTACAAGTCAGAGTTGTGGGGAGTTAGAGGATTCACCAAAGACAGAGTGGGAAACAGAACAGGCGGATTGACTGAAATACATTGCTGAGGAGAGCAGCTGGTGAGTCAGGAGCAGTCTGCTGTGCCATGTGGGTAGCTCCCTGGTCGGGGATCGAACTTGTGCTGCTGTGGCTATGGATATCTTCATATGTTGCGTCTTAACCCCATGCGCCACCAGGCCCTTCACTTTTTTTTTTTTAATTAAATATTTATTTATTTATTTTACAAGCACTGGGTACAGTCAGAAACGCGGGAAGGTGAGAGAATTCACCAGAGCCAGAGCGGGAACAGAACAGGCAGACCGACGAGATACGCTGCTGAGGGGAGCAGCAGGCGCGGCAGGAGAGGTCTGCGCACCATGTGGGATCCTCGCTGGTGGCCAGGGATCGAACCGGTGCTGTAGAGGCTGCAGGCAGCTTCGCAGCCCAGAGCTCAACTGCTGTGCCACCAGGGGAGGCCCCACTTTTTTTTTAAAGATTTATTTTTTATTTATTTATGCATACAAGAATTGGGGTGTAGGCCATAGGTGTTAGGGTGGGGATGAGAGGATTCACAAGAGACAGAGTGGGACGATTGACTGAAATACACTGCTGAAGGGAGCAGCAAGCAAGACAGGAGAGAGTGGTCTGTTGCGCCATGTGGGTCAGCTCCATGGCTAAGAATCAACTCAGGTCACAGTGGCTGGTGAGAGCTTGATAGCTGTGAAACTTTAACCCCTGCACCACCAGTGAGGCCCATATTGTACTCACATTAAATGTGAAATTGAAGAATGATGAATTGTTCTAAGGAAAGCAAATATAATTTCAAAATAGAGTCAAACGTCGCTTAGTGATGGGGAGCGTTCTGAGAAATGTGTTGATAGAATTTTATTGTTGTGGGAATGTTATAGAGTTTACTTACAAAAAGCAAGGGGCTATAGCTTACTGCACACCTATGTTATGTGCAATAGAGACCACTGTCTCTATGTAGGGTCCCATCCCCTTTTGACTATTATGTGGTACATCCCTGTATTCTTGCATCTATTGAAAGTAGTCTACATTAAATACAGACTATTGTATTAGTTTTCTGAGGGTGATGTAACAAATGATCACAGAATTGGTAACTTAAACAGAAATTTATTCTCTCAGAATTTGGAGGTCTGGAGCCTGAAATCCTTTTTCTCTAGGCTAAAATCTGTGTCAAAAATAATAATAATAAAGTAAAAAAATAAATAAAATAAAATCTAAGTGTCATTAGGACCATGCTCCTTCTAGAGGCTTAGGGGAAAATCTGTTTTGTACCTCCCTTAGTGACTGCTGGTCTTCCTTGTCTTGTGGGCACATGATTCTAATCTCTGCCTTCTTCATATCACCTCCTCTGTGTGTATCAAATCTCCCCCTATACCAATAATTGTAATTAAATTTAGCACCCACCAGATAATTTGGGGTAATCCTCAATGTTAAAATTCTAAATTTAATCACAGCTGCAAAGGTTTTTTCCCTTCTAACAGATTAGATTTTTGGCATCCAGAGTTTATGACCTGTATCTTTGGGTGGCCAAAATTCAGTCTATTACATTTATCTAATCTAGTCTTTTTTATCTGGCTACCAATGGTACTCTTCTTATACCCAGAAAAGATTTTGAGTACTAAGAAGGCCTGTGTTTCACACGTTAGTGTTCCTTGACTTGACCCCAGGAAAAGAACCGGAGAACTTAGTGCCAATGCTTTCTCAAATGCTTCTCCCTGTTCTTCTTTATTCTTTTTCAGGCTAAATTCCTTTTAATGGAAATGGATACTTATTAAAAAATCAAACCCAAAAAACCTTGATGTGGTGCTGGCCAGTGAACAGTAAAGGGGGATGATGGCTTGGCAGAAAGTCTGTGGGCTTCTGAATGTATCCCAGCACTATATACTAGTTAAAGACTGTATCATTTCACAGTAGGTACTTGTGCCTGTGAGGAAAGATATGAGTAGTTCTTTAGCTACCTTTTCCAAAGGACTGCAGAGAACTAAACTCACTGTGCTTCTGGGTTACTCTCTGTCTAATAAACCTATTCTCACAACTTTTATTAGAATACTGAGAGTCAGAGATGAAAAGCATTAGAGCAAAGCTAGAATAGCTACAGGGTATCTCAGTATCACAGAATTAGGATTGGTAGGAACCTGATCGTTCACCTGATCTCCCATCTGTTGTATCAGTTCAGTTCCCTTTGCAATATTGATGATCTTGAAAACAAAAGATTGGTGACATATGTTTGAATTCATGTTACTAAAATGGTGTTGTATGTAATTTGGGCCATGTTCTATAGTAAGATGAGACACAGTACTTTCTAAGGAGGCAACTTTTTTCTTTGGATAACTTTGCTCTTACATTGCTCTTAGGTTAGGTAGAAAGTAGTGGGGAAAGCATGGTAGATAATGACATAATTGTCTTTTTTAAAAGATTTATTTACTTATGCATATAAGAACTGGGGTATAAGTAGGAGGTGCAGGGGGTGAGAGGATTCACCAGAGAGAGTGGGGAGCAGAACAGGCAGATCTACTGAAATACACTGCTGAGGGAAGCAGCGGGCAAGGCAGGAGAGGTCTGCTGTGCCATGTGGGTTGCTCCTGGCAGGCCAGGGATCGAACTCGTGCTGCAGTGTCTGGGGATAGCTTGATAGTTCTGTCTTTAATCCTTGTGCCACAAGGGAGGCCCATAATTGTCTTTTAAATTCTTTAGTTTTTTAGATGAAAAATCTAGGCATTGATTCTTTGCTACAGAAAGTTAAACAAGACCTAAATTGCATTTGAAGAATATTTTGTTTAGGGTTGTGGATTCTCCAGGAAATTGAAGAATTAATTTAGAGGAGAGATAGTCTTTAACTACCTAATCTTAAAAACATCTTGAGAATGTCCCTGGTGGCGCAAGGGGTTAAGCTCTGCACTATGAAGCAATCCACAACCTCTGCAGCACAAGTTCGATCTCTAGCCAGCCATGGGAGAAACCCACATCGTGAGGCAGACCTCTCCTGTCTTGCCCACTGCTCTCCTCAGCAGTGTATTTCAGTCAATCTGCCTGTTCTGTTCCCCACGTTGTCTCTGGTGGATCCTCTCACCTCCCGCATCTCTGGCCTGTAACCCAGCTCTTATGTGCATAAATAAATAAATCTTTAAAAAATAAAATTTAAAAAAATCTTTAGAATGACTTGCCAGATTTTTTTTTTTTTTTTTGAGTAGAAGAACTGGCCAGAGGTGTGGGGGGTGAGAGGATTCAGCAGAGGCAGAATGGGGAACAGAACATGCAGCTTGACTGAAATACACTGCTGAAGGGAGCAGTGGGCAAGACAGGAGAGGTCTGCTGTACCATGTGGGTTAGCTCTCTCTCCGGAGATCGAACTCAGGCTACAGAGGTGATAGTGCTGAGACTTAAATCTTAGGCCACCAGGGAGGCCCCTTGCTAACATTCTTAAACATCTTTTTTTTATAGATCTACGAAAGTTGAAGTTCTGAAATATTTTGGTTTTGTTTGCATGCATAATTATTTTGGTAATTTTTTTTTAATTTGGATAAAATAGGTATAAAAATGTTCTGTAGCAGGAATATGAAATTCCTAGTTGAACTACAGCCTTTTAGATACATTCTAAAAGTAATAGGCTTGTAGATGTAGTATAAAAAGTAACAGTCTTACTCTGGTTCAGTGATTTATCCACCCAAATTCAGTAAGTTTGTATCACGGGGATTTAAGATCTATTCTGTTGAAGAGTTCCTTTTTCTCCACAACCTCGCCAACATTTGCTGTTGCTAGTTTTTTTAATATGTGCCATTCTCACTGGTGTAAGATGGTATCTCATGGTAGTTTTGATTTGCATTTCCCTGATTACAAGTGATGTTGAACATTTTTTCATATGTCTGTTGGCCATTTGCATTTCCTCTTCAGAGAAGTTTCTTTTTAGCTCTTCTGCCCATTTTTTGACTGGGTTATTTTCTTTGTTGTTGCTGAGTCTCATCAGCTCTTTGCAGATTTTTGTGATCAGTCCTTTATCATTAGTGTTGGGTGCAAAAATGTTCTCCCAGTTGGTGGGGTTTCTCTTTGTTTTTGTTATTGTCTCTTTTGCTGTGCAGAAGCTCTTTAATTTGATGTAGTCCCAGCTGTTTATCTTTGCCTTCACTATCACTGCTTTGGAAGTGCAAACTGGTCCAACCACTATGGAGAGCTGTGTGGAGATTTCTGGACCTACTAAACATAGAGCTTCCACAGGATCCAGCAATTCCACTCCTAGGTATTTACCCAAAGGACACAGAAACATCAATTCCAAAGAACACCTGCACCCCTATGTTTATAGCAGCACTATTTACAATAGCTAAGCTTTGGAAACAGCCCAAATGCCCAAAAATAGATGACTGGATCAAGAAGATGTGGTACATATATACCATGGAATATTACTCAGCATTCAAAAAAGATAAACACATGCAATTTGCAGCAACATGGATGGCGCTGGAAGGGATCATGCTCAGCGAAATAAGCCAAAAAGAAAAAGAAAAATACCGGATGGTCTCACTCATAGCAGGAATCTAGAAAACTTAAATAAGGGACCAGGAAAATGAATAACTATAAGAAAGTGAAAATCAAAATCAACAAAAAACTATGAACCAGAGACACTTTTTGGGGGGTGGGGGCCGGGAGGGGAGGGATTGGGGTCAGAATGGGGCATTTGCAATTGTATGGGGGAATATAAAAATAAAATTTATTATTTAAAAAAAAATCTATTCTGTTGAGGGGAAAAAATGGAAGAGACTTTACTCTAGACTTATATGCCTTTTGTCTTTTATCTTTACTGTCTCCGTAACAGTGAAAATATCTTATAAATCTGATAGCTTCTTTTCTTCCATTAGCTAGTTTCTGCCATTCACCTATCAATTTTCTTTCCAATTTAGGGAGATATTTTGAAAGATAGTTGTGAAACTATAAAAAACTAGCCATAATTGTTGGACTTTTGATAAATTCAAAAGTCCTAGGAAAATTCCAAGCACCCAAATGCATTTGAGTTACCTTTTTTAAAAATTGATAAAAATACAGTGTCTATTTCTCTCTGACTTTTAATTGCTAGAACTGTTGGTTCAGAATTTATTGGGAAATTTAGGATTTGTTATGAAATGTGAACATAAAATTATTCTTTAGTTGCAAAATTAGACTGTGTCATTGATGATAACAGAATGAAAACCAGACTAAAAGTGACTTTATTTTGCCATTAGTTTTGCTTATTTATCATTGTTCTGTTCTTAATTTTAGGCATGGAATTGTTTGAAGAGGCATTGCGTCGATGGGAGCAAGCTCTAACCTTTCGAAATAGACAGGCTGAAGATGAAGCCTGTGGTTCCATTAAACTGGGTGCGGGAGATGCCATTGCTGAAGAAAGTGTTGATGTAAGGATGGTGTATTTGAGAGTGGTCTTCATATTAGAAAAAAGCAAACTACTTTCAGTGTTGACTTAGTGTTGTAGTTTTTTGTTGCATTTAATAGACCTGTATTTTTTCCCCTTGGGCTTAATGTAGTGTTCATTTTCATTGGGCTTTTTCTGTCCAGTTAGTTGTTAAATCCTGAATTTGCAGTTCACCATCACATTTCCTGATAAGAATACATAGAATTAAAAAGATATGATTTCTAAAGATTATTTTAAAGTCTGATTTCCTCTTTGGGTTTCATTAATTGCTGCTCTATTCATAAAGCCATTAGAGCTAGACTGGCTCATATTGATCTGCTAAATAGTGATTCCCAAATTTAAGCGTGCATCAGAGTCTGGAGGACTTGTTGAAACCCGCCGTAGGATTTCTTTTTTTTTAAAGAAAGATATATTTTATTTATATATATAAGAACTAGGGTATAAGCCGGAAGTGTGTTTGGGGGGGTGCAGGGATGATGGTGAGAGGTTTCACCAGAGACTGAGTAGTGAACAGGACAGGCAGTTCTACTGAAATACACTGCTAAGGGGAGCAGCAGGCCAGACAGGATAGGTCTGCTGCACCATATGGGTTAGCTCCCTGGCTGGGGGATGGAACTCATGCTGCAGTGGCTGGTGATAGCTTGATAGTGCTGACACAACCCCTGAGTCACCAGGGAGGCCCCCCATTCTAGGATTTCTAATTCAGTGTGACTGAGGAAGTCCTGAGGTTTGACAAATTTACATTTCAAAAAATGTCCCAGATGATATTGATACTTCTGGTCCAGGGAGTTTACTTTGAGAATCTCTGATTTAGTTCAACTCCTTAATTATACAGGTAAAGAAAGTGAATCCCTGAGAAACGGAAGTAATTTTGCTAGACACAACTAAAAATGCAGGCCTCCTAACTTTGGTCAGTGTTTTTTTGACTGCTCAACAGTAGTTTTTTTATATCCCTTACTTAATGTCTTTCATTTAAAAGTGGAAAATACGGTGGCGCAGCGGTTGAGCGCTGGGTTGAGAAGCTGCCCACAGCCTCTATGGCGCTGGTTCGATCCCCAGCTGCTCCCCGGCCACCGGAGGAGGGTCCCACATGGCACGCAGACATCTCCTGCCGCCCACTGCTCCCCTCAGCAGTGTACTTCGGTCCTTCTGCCTGCTCTGCTCCCCGCTCTGGCTCTGGTGAATTCTCTCACCCTCCTGCGCTTCTGACTGTACCCAGTGCATGTATAAACAAAACAAACAAACAAACAAACAAACAAATAAATAAATAAATAAAACATGCCTCTATATAAAAAAAAAAGTGGAAAATATTTAGAATTTTAACACTATAGTCTAATATTTGCTGTGTGTACCTTTTCTCTCCTTGTAGGATATTATTAGTACAGAATTTATCCATAAACTTGAAGCACTGCTGCAAAGAGCATATCGTCTTCAAGAGGAGTTTGAAGCTACTCTGGGGGCATCTGATCCAAATTCCCTTGCTAATGATATTGGTAAGGTGAATATTTTATATGGTTTATATGTGATTTTCTTCTTTTATGTGTGTTTTTTTCCTTTCAATTTTGTTTTTCAAGTGAATTTAATGCCCTTAAGATATCAATTCAAGTACTTAACCATAGGTAGGATTTTGACATTATTTTAAAATTTCATACTTTGTGAAAAAATTCTTGGTTAAAGCATATATAAACAAAGATGAAAAGGTTTTCTCAAAATCTATTTCTTGATGGTATTATTTTCTGACCTGTAATCTCCATATATCACAGTTTTATGGCTAAGCTAAGAGCAAAGAAACTAGTAAAAAAATACTCAGATCTAATGACATGACACAGATAGTAATTCATAATAGTATAATAATCGGACAGAGATGCACTAATTTCAGAAATTACATATAGCTTGTTGTATACTTTTAAAATATTTTTTGTGATTATGTTTCTTAGATGCCATTTTATCTTGACTTCTGTTAATGCTTCAAAGAATGAAATAAGACAACACTATATTACATCTGTTTGATAAAAATAAGGAAATTTTTTTGAGGATTGGTGTTTTCCAATAAAAAATATAATTAAGGAGTGCTAAGGTTTTCCACATTTATTTCTGAACGTAAAGTACTTGTTACCTTGTAATAAGTGTCTCAGATTGGCATAAAGTTTCTTTTTTCTTCTAACCATAGAGGTTGGCAGAGTTTATCTTCGATTTCTTCATATTATGAGGTTATAAAGATTTCTTGGGAATTGTTCTAGGGGGTGTGCTTTGGGTTCATACTGTTTCTGGATAAAACGACCCTTGAACAGATGACTTAATTTGGGGGACTTCAAGTTGTCTCTGAGGAAATTGTTAATTTGGAACTCTAAATAGATAGGATTTCTAGAGTGGGACCCATTATCAGTCCATGCATTTGGTTAGCTTAGGTTGGTAGTAAACTCCTGACCTCCCTCATATCTTAACCTGGCCTATCACTGGCTATTAGGCTGTCAGGATTTTCTCTGCAGCCTTGCAGTGACTTGGTCTATTATTGTCCTGGAGATACCATTTGACATGGAGCTGTTCTATTTTGTTTCTTCCTGGGAATTGTTGGATATTGTTTCTTTATGTAAGTTTCTGTTTTTAAACTTCTAGGTTGAAAGAGCCAAGTAGGGGAGTAGATCTGTTATATCTGCTACTTGATACTAATCAAAATTATTTAAAAGTTAATTAATTATCCTCATTTCATTTACACATTTATATTATTGAGAAGGAATTTTTAGTTAATAAATTAAGTAAAAATTACTAGAGAGGCTAATGAACGCCTTCAGTGACTCAGGGGTGAATTTAAACCGAATGTTGATCTGTCTTTAGTGAATACTTTGTTGTTTTAGAATTTGTTTTTTCTTACTTGATGAAATTAATTTTTTTTCTCTTACACATTCGATAGGTTTTGAAGATAGACTATTTCTTAGCAGTCAACTAGACTATCTCATCTCTGTATTTAATGTTTGCCTGTTACCATTTACAGGCCCTTTGCTAAGCACTTACATACATCATAGTTTCTTCTCCATGTCAGGCACTATTCTGAGTAACAGTTACCTCACTTAATCCTCACAGCAACTGTTAGGAGATAAGTATAGTTATCTCCTTTTTTTCAGAGGTACAGAGATATTAAGTTCCCCCAATTACATAGTTATTAAGTAAATGAGCCCAGATATGGACCAAGACAGGTTAACCTCAGAGTCCATATCTTAACCACCATGCTTTATTGCCTTCTCAATTAAAATACTCACATCTTGGCAGCTCTCCTGCCCACTTGTGACTATGCAGGTGCCTCTCTTTCTCCTTTTCCTAATAAACCTATCCTTTAAAATTTAAAAAGTAAAGAAGTAAAATAAAATACAGATATCTTCTTTAAATGGGAGGGTTGATAATAAACTCTTTGTGGACAGGGTTGTGCCTACCAGCAAAACTACTTGTGGAAAATGTAATCCTAGCAGACAGCCTGGAAACCCCATAGTTGCTGAAGTAAGGAAACTTATTCCTAATAAATTTATTTAGTGTGGATCTTCCTTTCCTTTCAAATATTTTCCTTCCTCCATATATATGCAGGGATGTGCAGTTAACTAATTAGCTTTCCTCCTCTCACAGGTGCACTGTAGACAAAATTTCACTCATTTTGTAGAAGGAAGTTTCCAGGTTTGATCCAGGAATCAAAGAAGTGAACTACTCTTTTCACCTGAGGAAATTTATAGTAGTGCTTTATTGAATTACTGAATTGCCCTTTGGCTTAATTGCCCTGTGGCATATATATACTTTTATAACTTTTATAACTAAAAGTAGAGATTGAAGATTCAGACTGTTAGATCCTGGCTTCACCATTTGTTAGCTGTGTGATTATATAACATACTAAACCTCCGTTTCTTCATCAGAAAAAATGGTCATATAGGACCTGTTATATAAAGTAATTATGAGGAGTAGATGAAATACATGTAAAGTGCTAGGAACAGGTAACAATGTTTACTGATTAGGAATTTGAAACTTCTCTAGGACACGTTCAGGAAAACCACAATTTCACCTATATTAGGCTGGTTTTTTTTGTTGTTATTTTTGTTTTTATCCTACTTGCCTAATCTTATATGTGCTAGTTTCAAGGTATTCTTTAAAAATTCTGCTCTACTAATATATCCTTTTAATCCTTTTAATTTTTCTAGTGATGCTGTAATTTTATGTATTGAAATTTTGGTTTTGGTTTGGCTTGGTTATTTACAGTGAGTCTTTAGGAAGAAGTATCAGATGCCTCTGCTCTGTCTGCCAACATGAACTAGAAGTTCTGGACATAATAATAGAGCCTAAGAACTGTATTAGCTTTTGTAACATTGCTAATATTATACTTGTGATGAAGTAAAACTTCTAAGTTATTTTGGGTTATTGTAAGATTTGTTGTTGTCACATGTTCTTTCATTTGTTGGTATACAGTTTTTGTTTTTGTTCTTTTAATTGGGATAACATTCCTTTACATCTTTGTGTTGTAGAAGTTTCTAATAGGATCTCCCCTTTAGGTGTTTTTATCACACTGCACCCACCACAACACCCAGAATCTACTATTGTACCCCATTATGCTCCTTCCCCACTCAGTTCTTGCCCTTCCCCTCCCCTGGTGGGTTCAGTTCTACAGTCAGCTTTTTAGGGTTTGTTGTTAGTTTGGCTTTATCTGACCCTTTGTTGTGTTTCTCTATATTTTACATGTAAGTGACACCATCCAGTATTTGTCTTTCTCCTTCTGATTTATTTCGCTTAGCATAATCTCCTCCAACTCCATCCATGTTGCTGCACATGGCAAGAATTTCTTTTTTTATAGCTCAGTAATATTCCATTTTGTTTATATAACACATCTTCCTAATCCTCTCATCTGTATTTGAACACTTAGGTTGTTTCCATATCTTGGCTATTGTAAAACTGCTGCAATGAACATGGAAATTCATGCTTCCCATTGAATTAGTGTTTTTATTTTTTGGGTAGACAGCCAAGAGTAGAATTTCTGGGTCTTATAGCAGATCCATTTTTACTCATTTGAGAAACCTCCATATTATTTTCCTTAGGGGCTGGACCAGACTGCATTCCTACCGACAACATAGGAGGGTTCCTTTTCCTCTGCATCCTTGCCAATATTTGTTGTTTCTTGTCTTTTTTCATTTGGCACATTCTCACAGTTGTGAGATGGAATCTCATTGTGGATTTTATTTGCATTTCCCTGATAATAAGTGATTGTGAAAATTTTTTCACATGCCTGTTGGCCATGTATATGTCTTATTTGGTGAAGTGACTTTTTGTTTTTCTGCCTATTTTTTGGTTGGGTTATTTGGTTTCTTTTTGTTTTATTGTTTGAGTTTTTGTAGATATTGGGTGTCACTCCCTTGTCAGATGTATGGTGTATAAATATTTTCTCTTATTCAATAGGTTGTCATTTTGTTTTAGTAATGGATTCTTTCACTGTACAGGAGTTGTTTAGTTTCCTGTACTCCCAATTGTTTATATTTTCTTTTGTTTTCCTTGCTGCAAGAGACAAATACACAAAGACATCTCTGAAGCCTATGTTGTGGTATGTTTTACCTATGTATTTTTATGGTTTTAGGTCTTATATAAAAATCTTTTGTTCATTTTGAGTTGATTTTTGTGTATGGTATGAGATAATGGTCTGGTTTCATTCTTTTTCATGCAGCTATCCAGTTTTCCCAGCACCACTTATTGAAGAGTTTTTCTTTATTCCAATGTATATTCTTGGCTCCTTTGTCATAGATTAACTGTTCATACAGGTGTGGATTTATTTCTGTACTCTAAGTTCTATTCCATTGGTCTGTGTGTTTTTGTTACATTAACATGCTGTTTTGATTTTTATAGCTTTATAGCATAGTTTGAAGTCTGGCATGTGATACTTCCATTCTTCCTGTTTTTCTGTCAGAATTGCTTTGGCTATTTGGGGTCTTTTGTGGTTCCTTGTAGATTTCAATAATGTTCTATTTCTTTTAAAAATGCCATTGAAACTTAATAGGGATTGAATTGAATCTGTATATAGCTTTGGGTTGGATGGCCATTTTGACAATGTTAATTCTTCCAATTCATGAACAGGGAATGTCTTTTCATATCTTTGTGTCTTCTTTTATTTCTTTTAACAATGCCTTATAGTTTGCTTTATATAGGTCCTTTTCTTCCTTTAGGTTTATTCCTAGGTATACTTTTTTTTGGTATAATTGTACATTGGATTGTTTTCTTAATTTCTTTCTCTTCTAGCTCATTATTTGCATATAGGAAGGCAACTGATTTTTGTATATTGATTTTGTAATCTTCCACTTTGCTGAACTGATTTATTGTTTTAATTAGTTTTTTAGTATAGTGTTTAAGGTTCTTTATATATTATGTCAGCTGTGCAGTTATTTTTTTGAATCCAAGGTTTAGATAATATATTTATTATTCTTACTAAGTTATCATTTCTGAGTCATTATTCTGAATTAAGATAGTTTAAGAGTTT